CCCCAAAACCCCAAAACCCCAAAACCCCTTGAGTGATCTCTTATAAGCAAATTTATAGAATTAAAATAATTTAATTTCGAACAAATTCCTGCTGAAAAAATATTGAAATTAGTAAAGGTATTAAAAGAGGATCGAATTTAAACTAGCAATATTTATAATTAAATAGCTTCAATTATCATTGAAATGGATGAGATTTATGATGGATTTGAGATTAAAACAGAATAAAGTGAGGCCTCTAGAAACAAGAAAAGAATAGTTGAGAAGCTCTAGAAAAGATTGATAATAATGAGTGCTTAGATTCTTAGCAACAATATTGTGAATGATTACTTGTTTTGCTTGTTTTTGTTTGCTGAATTTGTTTGCATCATTCAGCAACCATTGATGCTAGTTTTGAAAAAAATTGACTCGCAAAATGAAGTCTTATAATACTACGACTAAAATGTCCTTGCAAAGCATGAGATGCTCAATATTCTGATTAATAGTCTTCTTCTCTTGAATGCAATTATCTTTATTGCTTTATTCTCAATGGTAGAATATAGTAAGGAAAACAATAGATGGTTTATGAAAATTGGATTCAAATATTTATCATTCAATATCTGCTTCTTCAATACTGCCTTAGCAATACCTTATCTAATGAGTAATTTTAACTAAATTTCTTGCTCAGCTCTGGATGAATAAGAAACTCGATGCTTTGAAGAGTTGAATATAGCTCTTTTTTTGTTGAATATTATGATGTTAGTGATTTATGAGGCATTTAGCTACTTCTATTTGATTTGCCTAGATTTGAATTTTAATAATCCTATTGAGTAGTATCATGCACCATGGACTACCCTAAGACATTCAACTATACTTATTTAGCAAGGAATCCAGATCGGCTCTTCAATTATCTTTGTTTTTAGCGAGCGCACCTTCATTGTGATTATTATGCTCGTATTAGTAATCACTGGACTTATTGCAAGGAATTTTTTTAAGTTTAGGCACTCTTACTACCTTGTTTACAAAGTTGATGTAATGGATGTATTTTTCAACTCCTTCATGATAATCTTCTTACTCTTGGCTCTCTTGATTTCACAAACAACTCTGCCTTACACATTTAACTCACTTTACTTGCTTCACTTCATTTCTATACTTTTTGCTACAGCACTATCTTATGTTCATAATTTCCATAGAGCTTCCTCGCTTGAAAAATTCTTTATGAATTTCCAGCATCTTTCTGATGATCTTGACTTCTCAACTAATACGGTCATTGATTATCTTTGCTCCAAAAGCAAGTAAGATGGAGTTAGAATCAAAGGATTAGTTCAGTTAATAATAAATGAGAGCGGGTGTGAAGCAGCTTAACAAAGATAAAGAGAAAAGTTTGAGAAATATAGCAAGTACTTAATAAAAGGATAGGTTAAGATTCCCAAGAAAAAGTCGCTCAATCCCTACAATTAAGCAGGAACGCTATTAAGATCTCTCGAATACTCTCATCATTAGACTAAAAAACTTTATCCTAACTTGAATCATGGGCAAACCGGAACCCTCAATAAGTTTAATAATCGTAAAAAATTCCCTCCCACAGAAAATGAGAATGATTCAATCTATCAAACCAGAGATCGAATTGGGATTAGCAATCAATAATAATATCAATCAGAAAATATAATTAATAATGATCAAATTGACGTGGCATAGATTCATATTACAAATGCTAATGAAATCAATAATTTAGACTATCCTCCCTCGCCTGCTTTGAGAAAATCTACTCATTATAAATAGAGTTCTTAAGCAGTTAATCAATAGCAATTTGAGACATATGAGTAACAGATCCCTGAAGATCTTGTTACATATAATAACGACATGTTTGAGGAATCAGAAGAAGAAGGAGATGAATAGGATTAAGAGTAACTTATAAACTCAATGTGCGATTACCATACGCCTTAAGATGTCAATCTGATTTGTGAGGTTATTGAATTCTTTTTGATTCAGATAAAATCCAACTAAAATAACAATGAAGTAAATTAAATAAAATACTCGAGATTGATGCTCCTTAAGTTAAGAATTCTTTATCTAGCTCGATAAACAGATAAATTACATTACCTGATGTATATGGTTTCTCAACTTGAGACTATCACTTCAAATTTTCAAATAAGAACTATTAAATACATCTTTCAAAAGAAGTTCCACCAAATTTTCTAGCATAGATTAGTAGAGAAAAAAGACAAAATAACTCCAACAGCTTTAATTTTTTATGAGCATCAAAGAGAGCACTTCGAGTCTAAAGTTTGTAAGGCTACAGAGAATATGCTAGTCTTGCTCTCAGACCTCAAGCTTTAAAGTACTTCTAGTGATGATATCATGAAAAGGTTTGAAAAATCGAAGGATATAATAAGGATTTCAATAGATCTTGAGAAAAGATTTAAAGCTATTGTTAATGTCAATGCATAACAAATTGATCTTGTTGCAATGTATTTCCATTTCCTAGATTAAGTAGTTCATATGGAGAATGAAGCAAGAGATGTTTACAAGATTATGGTTGATATGACTCATTCAGACAAGATTAATAAAAGATTTGAGTAGATTGACATTTCAAAGAATAAGGGGAATGGATTTGTGCTAATCAGTGGGAATCAGAAAGATTTGGGAATGATACTAAAAATCAATAATCTAGTCTGTAACATGCTCTAGTATTTCAAGGATGACTTGTACATGAAAAAGATTGGAGTATTAATGCCTGATAGTATAGCATAATATCATGATCAAATTATTAGCAGCTATATAAATTTAGAAAGTGATAGACAAACACTCAAAAAATCGAAGTCAAAAAAGAAATATGAGGATCTAGATGATGATCATGATAGATAAAGGAGAGAAAGACAAAAATTAAGATAGCATAGTCGTTAGGATAAAAAATGGCATCTCAACAAAAGAAGGTAGATGCTAATGTATAAGACTAAAATGGGAACTTTACTTCCCCTTACTTGTGATTTTGACATCTATTTCGACATTAATCAAGGAATTCAATTTCTTTGCTAGGCTTTTAAGTAAAATTACATTAAATTTGCAGAAGATTAAAAGATATAAACAAGCAATGTTTACATAATTCAAACTTAAGGCTATGGAATAGTTTAGTCATGCAGCTAAAATTTTCTAAAGAGATTTGGCATAAACTTAACTAAGATAATTGATGATAGATTTGATATTACTGCGCTTAATGAAGACCTATTCAAATTTGATGATCCAGATTCAAGCCTCGATCATGATGGATAGGCCCTGTTTTTAAATCTAAGTGTCTTAAATTCACTACAAAGTGAAGAATCTAAAGATTAGATTGAAAAATACTAGTAAAAAATGTAAATGAAGGGTTTAAGAATAATGAAACAGATGAGTACAAAGGGAAATCTCAGTAACGATATACAAGGCATAGACGAGTCATCAGCTTTAATGATAACATAATAGATGCTTTTTGCAAGTTAGCTAATGATTTCAAATGAGGGCAGTACAGCATGTTTTGTTAAAAGAGAGGTAGTTTATCATTAGCCAGATACAAAGAATCTAAGGAATTAGTCTTAAATAAATCATGGTGGTGACTTGAGTTATTAGTAAAGTCTTTCTAAAAATGATCGTTTTCAGTCTGTAAATGCGACCAATATAAATTTGATGGGAGGGGATTAGTCAAATATTGATGTGAATACTGTGAATGTATCTCAGTTTAATTATAGAGATTAAACTGTAAGAAATATGGAATAAACAGCAACAGTTGAAATTAATCCTTTGCTTGATGCTCTTAAAACTGATAAAGTCTATGGAATTTACTACTATATTGTCTTTCCAGATGGAATGAATAGCCAAATGAAGGAGCAAGCTATATAATTGGCTGATATTTAGCAGAAGAGAGGCAATAACAATGCAAGTATGGATTAGACAATAGGCAATGATACATTTAATTAGAATTTGCCATTTTAGATTCATGCTTTCCAATCAGATATGTAGCAAAATCCACCTCTGAGAAAACATCATACAAATGAAGATGGAACTTCTGGTGATGGAACTAAGAGTGAAGAATAGTTTACTTTTGCTTCTACTACTAGCTCATCAACAAATGGTTCTCATAAGGACAAAATAACAGAACTCAAGAATGAAAATTTTCTAGGTCAAGTGCCTGTATTTGTGAGTCTTTTCAGCAAAATCTTTTTATTCTACTTCATTTTGTTTATACTAGTAGGCACTGTAATACTAATAGTAGCATTCAATTCAAACAGAAGATTCTTCAATGACATTGAGGGTATCAATACAGCTAGGTAATATTACACTGAGTGCTCCATTTCATAACTGTTGTTCAGAGCATATATAGATATACCAAATGGAGTTGAACCTAACTCTTCAAGCGTTGTCTCAAATCGTTTTGGAGTGCTTCATTAGAAAATCGTTAAAAGTAATGAGAGATTAAGAATACTAAACAACAATTTAAGAAAATTCGTCGATGAATCAGATGATTCTAAAGTCAAAGACACCTTTACTGGTTCAAATGTAATCATTTATGATCTTTCAGAATAATCAACTATTACTTAAAGAAAAATCTCCTTGGACTAATCAATTTAATTGCTAATAGGAAAAATTCAAATGTTTTTCAATGATATTGACATTGATAACCCTGTATAAATTAAACAATAGTTGCAATGCAACTGCTCTCTGTCTAATAAAGATATTACCTATCGATAAAAAAACAAACTTACTTGGAATTAAAATGAAAGAGAAGCTTATTGGATTATTGAGAATACAAATAAGTGGATGACCTACTGGACCTATGAAATTGGAACTTAATTTTTAAGAACTTCATCTAGTCAAGTTGATGAGTACAAAAAGTAGATATTGATTCTTTCCATTTGCTGTATAACGCTCTCGTTTTTATGCTCAATAGCGTTCATTCCATACTATTTAAGAATAAAAAGAAATCTTAATCTCAATCTATTCCTGATCGAAAAGATGGATTTGACCACCATCGAAGATATTTAAAACTAGATCAAGTAATTCTACAGATAACTCAGTTACTCTAAAGGGAAATATGGAGGTCGCTCAGATTAATCTATGATTAATAACCAAATAAATTACTAATAAGAAGCATAAAGTAGAAATAGGTCTCCATCAGACAAATTCAAAGGTGAAAGCATGTAAATACGCAAAGTAACATCTTAAGATTCTGTTAGAAAAGAAAGTTTGATAACTGGAGCAAACCAAAAGCGTTTAAAGAAAGACAAAATGGGGAAAATCGATGAAATGGCTATTAAAAATTTGTCGCTGGATGATTAAAAAGGCGGCATATTTATCAAAAGAGGATTCGGGCAATCAGGTATTGTAAGCAAGAAATATGCTGAAACAAAGCATTCTCGCAGAGATTCTGATAAAAATTATGAAGAACAAAAAAAAGCTAAACTACGATAAGATTTAAGAAAGGGACATAATCTCCACGCTACTGGGACTCATTAAACTACTAATCAGCAGTTTGCATTTGTTACTAATGAAGAGGAATTTAAACGAATAGAAGAGGATAAATATGAATCAGATGAGAGTCATGATAATGAAGAGGATGAATCTAGAAACGATAGACATGAGTCAGATGACTCAGATCAAAACTAAAGAAAAAGAAAAAGGCACAGAAATAAATAAGAACATAGTGGGAATAACTAAGGATTAAATGGCAAATAAGTAATGAGTAGGATTGAAGAAAGGTAATAGGAAATTGTGAATGAAAAAAGAAAGAGTATATAATAAATGTACTTCCGCCAGAAGATTAAGATTGTTACAATCTCTACAGTATTCTCTATGATTCTCAGTATGTTCTTTATTGTAGATTACTTCCTTATTGCTGATACTTTCGATCAATCAGTAAATGCTATAAAAAAATTCTAAGCATTCTACGAGATTGATCCCTAATTTCTGACAATAGTTCAACTCAATAGAGAGTAATTCCTTAAAAATGAAACTGGGTGGTTTATTTTTGATGGAATAACAGAGCTTATCGAATTGTATCAATAATGCTTTGTAATTTCAGACGATTTAAGAAGACTCAAACAAAACTATCCAAGCACTCTGTAAAAAGCTGTATCTTTCCTGAAGGATGTTGATAGTGACTAATTCTGCTAAAAAATAATAGTGAATTACAATATTTCTGAAAGCCTAGAAACTTGTTTGACTGTAATGGATGGATTATTCAAAAACGGATTCACTAACGCATTTAACTAGATAATTAACTACTTCTATATGATTTAACTAAAATATGATAGCATGAAACCAAGTTCTAGAGATGAAAATTATTTAAGGGGAGAGCTAAGAAATTAGAAATCTATTGATTACGTTATGATCTATCACTCTTATCTTGATGAAACACTTAATCTTATTAAAACCAAAGTAACCTCTGCCTTGATTTCATTCTATGATGATAGAACAAGCTAATTCGTTGCAGTTTATAGCATTTTCATTTTAGTGCTAGTGGTTTCGATATTCCTGATTTTATGTTTTATGATGAAAAGAATCAAGAGAGAGATTTATTTAGCTAGAAGGACTATCCAGTTGATCCCTCACAAAGAATTAGTGAAGCAATAAAACTATGATATTGCAATAAGGATAAAGTACTGAAAACAAATTAATTAAATGATTTGAGGGCCTAATTTGCTTTTGAATTAAAAAATAAAAATCATTGAAATTTAAGTTTTATCATATATCATCTACTTTTTTTTTAATTTTCTTCATGGGGTTTTGGGGTTTTGGGGTTTTGGGG